GCTGGGGTGCAGAGGGTGATAGGGGTGCCAGGGTGCTGGGGTATTGGGGTGCTGGGGATGCTAGGCTAGGATATGCTGGGGACTCTAGCCAGGGTGCTAGGATATGGGGATGCTAGTGTGCCAGGGATGCTGGGGTGCTGGGGAAGGTGGGGTGCCAGGGTGCTGGGATATTGAGGTGCTGGGGTGCCAGGGTGCTGGAGATGCAGGGGTGCTGGGATATCGGGGTGCTGGGGTGCCAGGGTGCTGGGGCAATGGGATGCTGGGAATGTTGGGGTGCCAAGGTGCTGGGGTATTGGGGTGCTGGGATGCTGGGGTGCTAGGATATGGGGATGCCAGTGTGCCAGGGATGCTGGGGTGCTGAGGTATGGAGGTGCTGGGGATGTTGGGATGTCAGGGTGCTGGGGTAATGGGATGCTGGAGATGCTGGGGTGCTGGGATATCAGGGTGCTGGGGTGCCAGGGTGCTGGGGTAATAGGATGCTGGGAATGTTGGGGTGCCAGGGTGCTGGGATATGGGGATGCCAGGGATGCTATGATGCTGGGGTATGGGGGTGCTGGGGATGTTGGGGTGCCGGGATAGTGTGGTGCTGGGATAGTGGGGTGCTGGGATGCCAGGGTGCTGGGGTATTGGGGTGCTGGGATGCCAGGGGGCTGGGGTAATTGGGGTGCTGGGATATGGGGATGCCAGGGATGCTATGATGCTGGGGTATGGGGGTGCTGGGGATGTTGGGGTGCCGGGATAGTGTGGTGCTGGGATAGTGGGGTGCTGGGATGCCAGGGTGCTGGGGTATTGGGGTGCTGGGATGCCAGGGGGCTGGGGTAATTGGGGTGCTGGGATATGGGGATGCCAGGGATGCTATGATGCTGGGGTATGGGGGTGCTGGGGATGTTGGGGTGCCGGGATAGTGTGGTGCTGGGATAGTGGGGTGCTGGGATGCCAGGGTGCTGGGGTATTGGGGTGCTGGGATGCCAGGGGGCTGGGGTAATTGGGGTGCTGGGATATGGGGATGCCAGGGATGCTATGATGCTGGGGTATGGGGGTGCTGGGGATGTTGGGGTGCCGGGATAGTGTGGTGCTGGGATAGTGGGGTGCTGGGATGCCAGGGTGCTGGGGTATTGGGGTGCTGGGATGCCAGGGGGCTGGGGTAATTGGGGTGCTGGGATATGGGGATGCCAGGGATGCTATGATGCTGGGGTATGGGGGTGCTGGGGATGTTGGGGTGCCGGGATAGTGTGGTGCTGGGATAGTGGGGTGCTGGGATGCCAGGGTGCTGGGGTATTGGGGTGCTGGGATGCCAGGGGGCTGGGGTAATTGGGGTGCTGGGATATGGGGATGCCAGGGATGCTATGATGCTGGGGTATGGGGGTGCTGGGGATGTTGGGGTGCCGGGATAGTGTGGTGCTGGGATAGTGGGGTGCTGGGATGCCAGGGTGCTGGGGTATTGGGGTGCTGGGATGCCAGGGGGCTGGGGTAATTGGGGTGCTGGGATATGGGGATGCCAGGGATGCTATGATGCTGGGGTATGGGGGTGCTGGGGATGTTGGGGTGCCGGGATAGTGTGGTGCTGGGATAGTGGGGTGCTGGGATGCCAGGGTGCTGGGGTATTGGGGTGCTGGGATGCCAGGGGGCTGGGGTAATTGGGGTGCTGGGATATGGGGATGCCAGGGATGCTATGATGCTGGGGTATGGGGGTGCTGGGGATGTTGGGGTGCCGGGATAGTGTGGTGCTGGGATAGTGGGGTGCTGGGATGCCAGGGTGCTGGGGTATTGGGGTGCTGGGATGCCAGGGGGCTGGGGTAATTGGGGTGCTGGGATATGGGGATGCCAGGGATGCTATGATGCTGGGGTATGGGGGTGCTGGGGATGTTGGGGTGCCGGGATAGTGTGGTGCTGGGATAGTGGGGTGCTGGGATGCCAGGGTGCTGGGGTATTGGGGTGCTGGGATGCCAGGGGGCTGGGGTAATTGGGGTGCTGGGATATGGGGATGCCAGGGATGCTATGATGCTGGGGTATGGGGGTGCTGGGGATGTTGGGGTGCCGGGATAGTGTGGTGCTGGGATAGTGGGGTGCTGGGATGCCAGGGTGCTGGGGTATTGGGGTGCTGGGATGCCAGGGGGCTGGGGTAATTGGGGTGCTGGGATATGGGGATGCCAGGGATGCTATGATGCTGGGGTATGGGGGTGCTGGGGATGTTGGGGTGCCGGGATAGTGTGGTGCTGGGATAGTGGGGTGCTGGGATGCCAGGGTGCTGGGGTATTGGGGTGCTGGGATGCCAGGGGGCTGGGGTAATTGGGGTGCTGGGATATGGGGATGCCAGGGATGCTATGATGCTGGGGTATGGGGGTGCTGGGGATGTTGGGGTGCCGGGATAGTGTGGTGCTGGGATAGTGGGGTGCTGGGATGCCAGGGTGCTGGGGTATTGGGGTGCTGGGATGCCAGGGGGCTGGGGTAATTGGGGTGCTGGGATATGGGGATGCCAGGGATGCTATGATGCTGGGGTATGGGGGTGCTGGGGATGTTGGGGTGCCGGGATAGTGTGGTGCTGGGATAGTGGGGTGCTGGGATGCCAGGGTGCTGGGGTATTGGGGTGCTGGGATGCCAGGGGGCTGGGGTAATTGGGGTGCTGGGATATGGGGATGCCAGGGATGCTATGATGCTGGGGTATGGGGGTGCTGGGGATGTTGGGGTGCCGGGATAGTGTGGTGCTGGGATAGTGGGGTGCTGGGATGCCAGGGTGCTGGGGTATTGGGGTGCTGGGATGCCAGGGGGCTGGGGTAATTGGGGTGCTGGGATATGGGGATGCCAGGGATGCTATGATGCTGGGGTATGGGGGTGCTGGGGATGTTGGGGTGCCGGGATAGTGTGGTGCTGGGATAGTGGGGTGCTGGGATGCCAGGGTGCTGGGGTATTGGGGTGCTGGGATGCCAGGGGGCTGGGGTAATTGGGGTGCTGGGATATGGGGATGCCAGGGATGCTATGATGCTGGGGTATGGGGGTGCTGGGGATGTTGGGGTGCCGGGATAGTGTGGTGCTGGGATAGTGGGCCTCCCGCGGGAGGGCCGGCGCGTCGCGGGGCCGAGAGCGATGCCAGGGCAGCCGAGCCCCGCCGTAGGCACCGGTGTGTTGGCTTCATATATTTTAATCATTTTAACATTTAATGCTTCTCAATTAAAGTGATTTCCTGGAGTAGATGCCAAGCTTAGCCCGAATGCACATTAACCACTTTCTGTAGCGGTAGTTAAAGGCACTGGGGGATTTAAACAGCAATCCACAAGGCTGCTGGGGAAAGGTTTGGCTGAATAAAGCAGATTATAAACAATAATATATGTCTTTCTCATTTTTCCCCTTCTTTTTTTGGAAAGGCTCCAAACTCACAAACAGATCTAAAGTGCTATAAACATATCCAGGGCTAAGCGCGGAGCCCCCAAATGTGCTCCCTGAAAGCACGGGCCTTGCTGCTACCGCTTTTCATCTCTGTTTTAAAAGAGAGCTTTTTTTATTACCCAACATGTCCATCAAGCCAAAGTTGCCTTCGCAATATTGACATGCACACAGGGCTCCCCTCCGCTGCGACAGATAAAATAAATCCCTGGCGAGGACAAGGTGGCGGCTGCACGTTAAGGCAGCACACAAAGGTGACCTCTCGGCTTTAACCTCGCCAGCACCTCGTCCCACAGCCAGGGCAGGGGACAAATGCGCCCTGAATTTCCACTGCTTGTGATGAACACCAACCATCACCAGCCCGTAAGCACACTCGGCGGGGGCCCTTGACTTTCCCTTCGTA